AACTTATTCATTATTTCGTTCAAAGTATTCAGTTGTTTGGCCATGTTGTCATAATGTGCATTCCCATTTTGGATAAATCTTTCCATATAATGAATATTTCGAAGATTTACCTGTTCAACGACATCTTGTGTGAGTTTTCCAAGTAGTGCACGCATAATTCGAAGACTCAACTCTATCATTGATTCGTAACGACTGTTACTGCTCTGATTCTGTCCATCTGTTTGTGGAGAGCTAGGTGCTTCTCATATCGCTCAATCACAGACTGGACTCCTCCCTGACTCGCTGCTTCCTTATCGGATCTCTGAGGTATATTGTTTCACCTTTTGTATCTTCAACACCAAACACCACCATCCCATTGGACGTGTTAAATTGTTTCGCGTGGGTTAGTCGCTAACAATTAAAAGGGGATCAGACGATTGTGTAAGGGACAAACCTCTTGAGACAAAGTCCCAAAAAGGGGTGTTTTTATTAGCAATGACTTTACAATTGGAAAATAAAATAGAATGCCTCCAAGGGGCGCAATCACACGAGTTATTGAAAAGAAGTGTTTAAATCTAAACTAAGAAATGAAAGTTACATATTCTCTGTTTGAGAGTGTTTGATTCGGGGTCTTTTGCTTTATGTCTTTTCTTCCTTTTATACTCCCTGGATGATCTCTTCGTGATCAACCACTTAAAAACTACTTGATCGCTCTATAACTGTTCACTTTCTCCATAGTGGCCAACTTGTCATGGAATTACCTTCTCTAACTGCTGTCATTAGTTTTTGTCGTTCAACCGTCTTCAATTGAATTCCTTGAATCGTGGATGTGATAGGGTTACTCAATAACTGCTTCATTAACCGCACTTTTGGGTAACCATAACATCTTATGTTTGCTAAGATCCTAGGCGACTCGAAGATTTGGGCGAGGGTCATAGCTCTGGGCAACTGCATGGCAATCCATTCGCTCAAATCTTGGGCGACTTGCAAGCTTGGACGATGGTATTACTACGTTCATGGGCTTCCCTATTTGGGCCTTTATCCTGAATATCCTGATTGGGCCGTTCTTTGGGCTATCTGATTTGGAGATCTTCCAATTGGGTTTCATTTCTTGGGATATTCGATTTGAGCCGAACTTTTTGTGTGTCAACAGTTTTCATTGGCAAAGGTCATTTAGTTGGCTAAGCCCTTACCCTTTGACAGCATAATGCAATTGCCAAAGGAAAACGTGTCGTGGTCACTACTATCAATCCACTGCACTTCCGGCATCGGGCAACATTTGAACGTCTATCAGGACTCAGAAAGGATTTTAGGATCCTCAGAAAAAGTCAATGTTACAACTGGTGAGAAGCACATGAATGAATTTTCATTCTTCCCTCCATTGGTTTATGTGCTTATTCCTACATGTGTTTAAGTTCTCTTAATGAAATCCCAATAAAAGCATTATCTATCTGGATGAAATTTTGACTAATCTTAATAAAATAGTCAATGTTCTAAACTAGAAGTTAGAGAAAAATCCACTTTCATATAGAATCGATTCTTTTCTCGAGAACGAAATAAAAAGCAGCAGTGCAACAGGCCAAGTCGAGAGCTACTAGGAGGTTTTGGATCAAGGATGGGCTCTTGATCACCTAAGGGAATTGCCTCTACGTGCCCAAGGTTGGAGACTTAAGGAAAGAGACCAATCTATGGGGATAAGTCCATTCTCTAGGAGACAGAAATGTGGTCTTAACTTGCCT